TCCTATAAGAAGAATCCAAATGTGTTGATTTAATTTAAAATATATTTTTAAAATAAAGTTCAGTGCTGTTCCTAATTTAAGAACTTTTATATATTAATCATTTTTATATGCACTTGGCCAGTACTACACATGAACTTGTGGTTTACAAGTAAATCCACTTCTTTTCCACTTCATGAAATGTAAAGAGAATTTCACTGGAAGGCATTGGCCAAGTGCACACTGTAACCTCACAGGGATCTAATATTGCAGTCTGCAATACAAGAGGAGATATTTTAGAAATATGTGAAATGTAATTTGACAATATAGGCACATGAAGGATTAGTTAGCTGCTGAGCAGCATCTCAAGAATATCAAGATAAATGTTTAAGGATTTCTTCAGAAGAATGTGAATTTTCAAGTCTAGTGCACAAAGGACCTGTACTACAACAACTGCTTATCAGAAAGGGTCCTCCTTGATACCTATGTAAGGCATTGAAAATTCAAAAGGGCCCATCACAGCTTTGAATCAAATTTAAAAACCTCATACATGTTACCATTTTTTCTTCTTTAAATAACTTCTCTGGCAATTTTAACCTGCATTTTGAAAGGCTCATAAACATCTGAGGTCACAGAAACATTCTGAAGTGTCTAGCGGAGGTGCTAGTTTAAGATCCAGCTTTGTTTAATGCTGATTGCTGCAAACGGGGAAGGAGGAGGGAGAATTTCTTTAAATACCAGAGTATTACTTTATACCTAAAAATTGTAAATAAGTCCTTTGCTCAGCAAAAGTTAGTTAGTTAAGTAAAAGTTAGTCACTTAGTTCAAAATTAGGCAGTAACTATGTCTTTATATTAAAAAAAAGATTGGTATGAAAATGAAGATGAAGAATGTAAAAGCTCACACATGATTTTCCATAGTTAGTTAATCTTACTATGTAGTCTGGAAATTCTACCAGGTACTTTTGTTCTAGACATCCAGAATAAATTAAAAATTTAGTTAAAATGGTGACAGATTGAATACAGTTACCTGAGCCATTCATGAGTTAAAATTACACAGGACAACATAACCACATATAGAATAAAATATAAAAAGGCTCAAAGACATAGTTCTCTCATTTCTCTTTAGCTATTTTATTAAATAATTGCTTTTAAAATATTTTTAAAATTTAAATCAGTGGAATTATTTGTAAAAAAGTAGCCTGCTTTCTCTATTCTCTATGGTGGTCTACACTAGCATTATAGGAACATTTATCTTGAGCAAAAGTAGCATTTTTCCTATGATAGTTTCCACTGAATGTGGTTCCCAAATGAAGCCAGTCAAGTTCGTTCTCTAGTATAAATACCTTACTCAAGAACTGTTTGTTATAGTTGCCCAAAGTACTTTTTATCTAAGCTGGAATTTATGTAGTCCTGGCTCACTACCTCAGGTCTTTGTTGTATTCTGTGTTACTTTCTCTCTATAGTGTGTTAAATTTAGGTTTTGCAGGCAGACCTCAATGTTCAATAAGAGGAGCATTTAAATTGTCTTAAACTTGAACTACAATGCAATCCCCTGCAATGGTAATGATAGAATATATGTGGCACTACGAAATACCATGAGTGCTCAGTTCTGCATAGCTGGTTGTCAGAAAAAGAGACACTTTTATACTTCCATGGCATTTATTCAAGTGCATATACTGAATCCAAGTTTGCCTCCTCACATGAGATTAGTTGTTATGGTCAGCTACAGTGTTTCTGCACATGGTTTATTATCTGCTCTCTCTACAGTGTTAACCATTTTTTCCACAGAAGTATGCGCTATTATTCAATGGACTATTTAACAAAGTATATTTTCTTAGAAAACCTTTTCAATTTGAGGACTATCCATTCTCAGATGCACTTTTTATTCAGATCATTCACCAGAGTATATTTTTCTTCGGATGAGATTAACATTTTTAAGAATATTAATTAACCCTTGGTAGTTTGTTTATAGCCTTGAGGCATCTAGTTTGTCTTACACTTTCATTCTGCCCTTACACTTTCAAGACTTCTGCTACCATCTTGCATTCATTGTTTTGGGAGCCACCGGTCAAATCCACAATTTTTCTTCAACTGCCTTTAACTTTGCTTTCCTGGTTATGCAACTAATGGTTTATTAGCACCATCCAGTCATGCATATATCCAAGTTATATTTCATTAAATGTTTCATTCCACAATGGAATATGAATATAAATAAGACATGGATTAAAGCAATAGTCTCCTTGTTAACAGAATATACAAGTTATGGCAGCATTGCTAAAACATAATCAAATATAGTCTAGAGCAGGCACTGTGACTGTTACTGCACTTTCTAAAATCCGCTGTTTAACAAAGGGATAGTGTTTTTTTCTCAGTGTTAGGGAGTGTAAATCTTCTGTGACTTATTCTAGCTTTTAGCAAGCCTGATTTTATTAACTTGACATAGGTTTGACTTTTGCCACATGGGAAAAATGTTGCTGGACTTGGTGAGGCTGCTGAGTTTAGCAAGTTGCTATGTCCTTGTTGATTTTGGTGCTCAGGATGAGATGCTGTTGCGCTCTAGCTGAGAAGAGCACTACATCCAAAAAAAGAAAGATCTGGTTTGGACTAATCAGTCACTTTGTATGTGTGTTGTGGATTAACCCCTGCAGCTGAGCATCACACAGACTTGCTCCCTCCCCCACCAGCTGGACTGGGGAGAGAGCTGGAAGGGTAAAACTGAGAAAACAGGTGGGTTGAGATAAAGACAGTTTAATAACTGAAGCAAAAGCTGCACACATAAGCAAAACAAAGGGACTTAATTCACCACATGCTATGGGCAGGCAGGTGTTTAGTCCTCTCCAGTAAGTGATTTAATGCCATCTCCCCAGATGTCCCCTTCTTCCTTCTTCTCCTCCAGGTTTATATACCGAACATGATGTTTTATGGTAGAGAATATCCCTTGAGTCAGTTGCGGTCAGCTGTCCTGATTGGTCCCCTCCCAACTCCTTGTGCATCCCCAGCCTCCCCAATGGTGGAGTGGGATGAAAAGCACAGAACACCTTGACGCTATGTAAATGCTGCTCAGAAATAGCTAAAACATCTCTGTGTTATCAATAATTTTTAGCACAAATCCAAATCAGAGGCCAGATTAACCTACTATGAAAAACTTAACTTTATGGTAACAAAAACCACCAGAAGATATTTCTAAAGCCAGCCATATATTATAAGCTCATACTCTCATTGCTGAGCATAATAATGTTTTAAGTTCTGGTCTTAACATACACCAATAACATTTTCTATCTGTTCATAATAATGTCTGTTTTTCCATGAGGTCTTCAAATGCTGCTGAGTGGAAAGAGGAATTCTATTGTTCCTATACAGTAATGTTTTGAAGGTTACCTCCATAACTATGTACCAACAACAGCTGAGGATGTGTTTGTTGGGTGGAAGAAATTTATTGCATCCACCTGCTGTGTGACCAGTGAGGAATAATTTTATTGCTTGATAGATTGTAGACTGGGATTTTTCTTGCCCTTCATTCTGTCAAAATAATTAGGAGCAAAGCATGAAGACCTTTCCAAAATTTTCTGTAGAGTCTCTTCTGTCTTCATGGGGTCTTAAGTCTTTACCACACATAATTTTTGATACTCTTCTTCCATGATTGCTCACATCCAATTTTTGCAGACAGAATTTTTCTGGCAGAACTATGACATTGGCACAGTATTTAATGTGCCACTTGTCACTCTCAAAACACTGCTTATTTCACTGGGTATCAATTTTATATGAAAGCTGTTATACAAAACAAAATGCTTTAGAGAACAAAATACTTTATGGGAGAGAGACAGACAGACATATAAGAAGAATTGATGTTGAAATCTTGGAATGTGTATACTGCTCCTACTTCTACTAGCTTACTTCTTCTTGATAGGTACCCAGAATTTTGAGGAGTTTTTTTTTCATTCTCTGGAAATCACTCACAGTGGGCTTAGTGCCTTTAGGTGATATATTAACATGTGTTAGAGTATAGGAATTTACTACGAACTGGCTATTCTTGTCTTGGGTGTTTACATGGAACAACATGCAAATATTGTGGGGGCATTTTCTGGTGGTTTGGGTTTTCCCCCAGTAAAGATAAATTTCAACAGTCACTGAAATAGAACATTAGTATACTTGAATTTTTCTTCAATGGACCTAAACTATAAATATGATTCACCTATATACAAAAATCTGGGGAAGGTGTGTAGCTTTTGAAAAGTCTCTGCAGTAGTGCAGGTCCTTGATGTCACCTTGAAGGAATCCATCAAAATATGTTCTAATTTGGCTGGTCTGGTTGCCAAGGTAGATGTGTAGTTTTCAATCTTTGAACATTTTGTTGATCAAATAAGAACAGTGTCAATTTATAACTTTTGACAGCTTCAGCAATGGCCTTTTCTGTCAGGCAGTGTCATGTAAAGAGGAGAGAGCAACAAGCACAGCCGATGTACTTAATTTATTTTGATAAAGTAGTTTTTCATAGGTGGTCAGTGTTAGAAACAACATACTGTGACACAATTTAAACATTTGCATCTCAAGATCTTTTATGAGTATTGACTCCTAAGTTGAGGATATTAACAATATTTTTGTACTTAACTGGGAAATTTTTAATGTAGTTCATCACAAGATTGCTATTTTTTGCCTACTGCCAAGTATACACGTCCTAAAGTGAAATTATGTCTTTCTTCATGTCGAAAGAAATGTCTTAGTTTCTGTTTTATCCTAGAATTGCCTAATGTTCTATAATACACGCACATAATACCCTCAACCAAACAATCAGAGAAAAAGACAGCAAAGGATTATATTTTAAAATTATTTTTCATAGAATCATACCGTAGATTTTGTGAGGATGATAATAAAATACATTTTGTTTTGGGGAGGTTTTTGAATTTATTATATACTATATTTGCAATATGAAGAACCTGTTCAATTTATAATTAGTATTTTTTCTTTAATGTATATTTTTAAAATTTCTTTAAGGGTATTTATTGCTTTTAATTTTTTTTTCAGGGAGTGCTGGAACACCTGTTGTTTTCAATGAAAATGGAGATGCTCCTGGACGCTATGATATTTTTCAGTATCAAATCACCAACAAGAGTACAGAATATAAAGTAATTGGTCAGTGGAGTAATCAACTTCATCTAAATGTAAGTACACTGTTTCCCTTAGTATTGTCCTGCTGAAACTCTCTGCTCATGGCTTGGATGGGCACACTGTTCACTGAGTAAAACACTGGCTGGAGGACCAAGGCATCCTGAGATGACAGTGAATGGAGTTAGTCCAGGTAGCACCTGGTCACAAGTGGTGCTCTCCTGGAGTCAGTACTGGGGCCAGTCCTGTTTAATGTCTTTATCAATGATGTGGACGAGGTGGTCATGTGCACCCCCAGTAAGTTTGCAGATGAGGCCCAAGTTGAGCAGGACCGTTGATCTGATGGAGCGTTAATTAAATTATTTTAAACACTTATAAAATATTATTTATTCTCTGTCAGCTGGCAGAACAAAGCACTTCCCCTCTGTTCTTGAGAAGACAGTAAAAGATTGCACAATAGCCTGAATCGAATCCTTTATATTTTCAAGTCAGATGGGCCATGTAGTTATCAACTCCTTCAGAAGATATTTTTGAATAATTTTATATCTGTTGTTCCTCAGAGAGATTAATAAGTTAGGCAAGGAAATAATAACTCTTCCTTTAAAAAAAGGCATCAGACAAAATGATGGGGACAGTTAAATTGCCCAGGTATTTCAAATAATATAAGAGGATGAAAATGTATCTCATAAAAGATAAGTTTGAATTCTATCCAATTCTGATTTAGTTAAAACATTGGGATGATGAACTACTGCAATAAAAATATGCCTTGAATATAAAGGGAGACTTTAGTGTTTTTTTACATTAATAACTAGGATTTGTATTGTTTCTTATTACTTCATAGCAAAAGGAATAAAAACCCCACAATTTACCCATCTTCAGATAGTGTTTTTAATTGTTGTCTTAATGTGTTTTGCAAGTTTTGGGGTAGTTAAGTTCCACTTGTGCATGGAATTATATTTGGGACGAAAATTGCCATCCTAACAAAATTCAGAGGATATATTACGTAGATTTGTATGACAGGCATCAAGGTTTAATTTGAGAAATTTTTGGGTCCAAAGTACTTCCTTCTGGAAGAAGACGTCTTTGTGCAAAGAGAAAAGAAGAAAAATTAAGTTAATATCTTTCCTTATTAGATATGTAATGTACTTGAGTTGTGTTAGCTGTTTGGGTACCTCTGCAAATGTGAAATACCAATGTTGTTTTGCTAAAGGCTGATGAGAAGGGCAGCAGTGTGAATTGATGTCTAGATCCACCAAAGCAAGTTTTTGCAGTGAATTCAATAAAACAACAAAAAGAAGGTTTCAAATATCTCTGGTTTTCCATGTGAGAGGTTCCTGATGAAGAGTAACAAAGACAGTGTAGTAAATATTTACAAATTATTCTCCTGTTCAGACTGTTTTGCAATAATTATCTGAGTGCTATCGACAATAGCACATATGATGACTCCCCATTTTCATTCACAGCTGTTTAGCTTTAGCATATCTACAATTTAATATCTGTAACTACTTGTCAGGGACTCATTTATTTAGGTTTTCTGCCCAAATAGAAAAAAATCCTACTAACAGAAGCCGTGTGTTGCAGACTGTGTGGCAGTGTTATTTCCTTTCACTAACCTGATATCTGTCTGTTGAAAGGCATGAAAGGAAAAAAATGGTTAAACAAGTTTAATATTAAACATTAATTTCTAGAAAACACTACAGTTAGATCCTTATCATAACTATTATGGAATACATTACAGATTTTGATAATTGCTACATTTTTCTGAAAAGTTAGTGCTTATTAAATTAACTCAAAAACTGATAAATTTTGCACAAATGCTAGTATTAACATAACAGTTATATAGTAATATCAAAAAAGATACAGAAAAATTTGCTTTAATTTTAGTTTAATTATGATCTGCCTTTTTCTATCTCCCCCTAGACTTCTGAATTTTTCATTAAGCCTGTAGTTTTTCAGTCCCATTATTTCTGCCTCATGTATATATACAGGGAGGAACTCTGAAATATGACTGGATTGATGGGTACTCATACTACCGAAACCACATCGTGCTAACCACACAGACCACAAATCTAACAGGAATGGATTTATCTAAGGATGCCCTAATTAACTCTCATTACTTGAGGATGTGTTAGAATGTTGTTTGGCTCTCCTTTTTCACCACCATAATCTCATGTGCTGGATGCAACTGGTTTTTCTGACTCTTAGGCAAGTTCTGTCTAGTACGTGGGGCTGTGAGCATACGAGTGGGCTGGCACAGTGCCCGGCAGTGCAAGCTTCTGCTCCCAGCCTTGTGTTAGGGTCCTGCTCTGCTCCACCACCCCTGCTCTGCTGCAGAGCCCCTGCTCACACGGGCCAGGATCCTGCACATTCACTAAACTCTTAGCAGGTGTTGATGGCAGTTATGACAGATGACGATCTACTGTGGCAAAGCTGTTGCCTCCTCTTACTAGACAAAATATATTGAAACCAAGTAAGCTTTCTGAATGATTGTCAATATTCCAGATCATCATACTGCAAATTAGGAAGTGCTTTTGAGTGCCAATGAATCATAGGGAACACGGTGGATGTTTTCATTAGTTTCTGTGAAAACATCTATATTTATTGAAAGTGAAGCAGTATTAAGATGGCAGAACAATTTTTACCCTGCTGCTCATTAAAGGAGATGCTTTTAAAATATAATACTTTCCCCCCTGTATCATTCTCCTCTAGTTTACTTTTATGAAGACACATGTAACTATGATTTTATTGAATATTTGTAAGCTAGATATCCTCTGCAGATACCTCTACCCTGATTTTTACAGATATTTCTTCCTCAAATTGTGTGGTAACATGTAGCTCTGATGTGTTTATGATTATGTTAATCTATGCAGCTGGTATTGTGCTTCAGAAAATTTACAGTTTTTATTCATGTGTTCATTTTTCCTGTCAGAAAAATATATCTTGAAAGTATCAGTTTTTTAGCACAGTTCAACCTTGGAAAAATTAATGTAATACAAACTAGAACATATCTTCCATCTAAATAACTTAATCCAAAGGTTTCCCTTTTCTATTTCTGATTTCCTCATTCCCCCTACTTTTAAATTTTCCTTTTCCTTAAGATTCGCTTTGCTAATTTATATCATATTTTGGCTGCAGGTTTGTTGGCTGGGCTTTGGCTTCTCACCTGGTAGCGAGCCCCAGTCTGTCTCTGGCCACCACCCTCGGAATTCAGGGTTGCTCTGCTGATGTCTCTGGCACCTCAGAGCCAGACACTGACTCTGCAGGCTCCTTGTCAAGCTTCAGACTCGTTCCTTTCCCATTGCAGTGCTGGTTTTCCCTTTGGGCAGGAAGTGCTGGCTCTCTCTGGATAAAGACTCTGTATCACATTCCCTAAGGGGCTCTTTCTCAGCAGGCTTCACCACTGCTGAGACCCTTCTAGCTCTGATGCTGGTTTCTTCATGGAGACTTCAGTAACATTAATGCTCTCCTTTAGGCCAACTGACCTTTTAAATTTCCTCTAAAGCAACTTTAGCTTCCAGATACAGGCACTTCATGACTACTGATCAGTCGTACTCACGTAAATCTTACAAAACAAATGCATGACAATGCGGATACAATAGATAAATTAAATTAAGAAACAATAACGATCTTCCAAATTTAAATTTTTGCATGATTCGTGAGTTTGAAAAAGGTATCTGTCTTTGACAGATACAAGAAAACTCTGAAAGCAAATATTTAGAAATGTCCAAAAATAATCTCAAAGAACCTGATTGTCTGATGATTCTGACCATGTAAATTTACTCCTCTTTTAGTAAAGTCCTTTTACTCTCCAAGGTTTCCTGACTTTAAGTGATCTTAATATACTGGAAACAACCAGGCCTTTTAAACTTTTGGTATGATTTTAAAGGAAGAAATAATTGCCTTAGAACTTCTGCTTATTCATGATACTTTAACTGTCAATGTTTTTTGTTGTTTACTTTCATAATTTTCTTTTCTTTATCAGTAGAAAAAGATAACTTAATTTTCAGGGAAGTCTGATAGTTAAAATGCTGTCTTAAAAAATATTCTGGTTTTAATGATGAATAAAAATCCAGGCAAAGGTAGCTGTTTCTGCAAAAGCTATGTTTTATTCATATTGCAACAGTATTTTGCATACCAGGTCACACGTAAAAGTTCTCTACAAATGTGTGGGTTTAGCAAATTTGAGCTCTCAACCATGTAATATCTGTACAAGTAAAGTTGTTAGAAACGAGCTTGCTTTTCCTTGCACTTATAATTTGAATCAAGTTCTTTTTATGATTAATAATTAATTCACCATTAGAAACTCTGTTCTGTACTGCATGTGTTGTTATAAGGGCTAGACAGAGATGTTGACTGGTGGCTTTTGTCAGTGGCAATAGATGGAAATAGTCCCAAACTGAAGTTTTAATAATGAGTTCCTGACTACCTTTCTTTAGAAACCCATTCAGTTTGTTCAGGTTCATTTCTCAATATCTTTTTTTCTCTGAACATTTCTTTTAAAATGCTCTAAATGCATTTTACAATGCTCTATTTTTAAAACTAAATATGAGTTGGAAAAAGGAACATTGAAATGTTAAAGAATTTTAAAATCTAATATTTGACTTTTTTTAAAAAACACATTTTTAAATATAGTTTGAAACAATCTCAGATTGTATTTCAAGCTTATATATTGTTTTGATCTATCAAAATCTGTCTTTACAGATCCCAGTATGAAAAAATAAATGTAGATCTTGCAAGCTAGTGATTTTGATCTTCTGCTGAGTCTTCAGGGAGACACAATTATTGCTGATTTTAAAATCACACATTTAGCTGATGCAGTTAAAATGCTTGAGTGGATAACAACTTACATTATAGTACTCCTCAAGAAAAATCCAAAGCAGATAAAAACCTTGCATGTTTCCCTGGAGCTGCTCAGGGCTGGGCTGGATGGGGTTCTAAGCAACCTGGTCTAGTGAAAGGTGACCCTGCTCACAGCAGAGGGGTTGGAAATGGATGATCTTTCAGGTTGTTTTGAACCCAGGTCTTCCTGTGAGCCTGTGTTTCAAGTGAAAACACT